GAAGCTTTGCATTAGTATTTGTACGGTCTATATAGGTGTGAGCTTTGGCCTCGGCCCCGGACCTTAAAGCCCTGCGCTTTTTTGCCGAGAAACAAGCAGCATCCAGGACCTCGTGCCCCAAACCTTAGCCCCCTGAACCCTAAGCCATCCTGAACCATAAATCCTAAACCCTGAACTCAAAACCCTAAACCCCAAACCCGAAACCCCAAACCCTAAACCCCCTAAACGCCCTAAACCCCAGACCTGAAAGCCTTGGACCAGGACCTAAAGCCCGAGTTGCTCCTCTTCTTGCGGAAGCTGGAGGTGCCAGGGGCCCTTTCTTGCGGTTTAGGGTTTGAGGTTTAGGGTTTAGGGTTTAGGGTTTAGGGGTTGGGTTCAGGGTTTAGGGCAGAGAGCGAGGGACTTGAGAGAGCCCTCGTTGAAGAATTGTGAATACAAGTGCGTGTGTGTATAGAACACGAAGTTAGTGACAGTTAGTGCATGTTCTGCTGTTCATTTGTCTGTTCAGCGGTAAAGGCTACGCTTTTTTGCGATGGACCAAGAGACGGCAACATGTTGCCAGAGACCCTTGGCAAGCTCAACCCTGAACCCTACAACTTGGGATGTTTCCCCTTGTACTAGCAGTTCTTAATGGGGATTACAGTGCCCCCTCTTTTACAATCCCTTTTACGGACTGTTAGTATAACATCCCATGCTTGCGAAAAAAAAGGAAGACGCCCTCAGGGCCTTCGTAAACCTGTAGAACAAGGGCTCTGGCTTCAGATTTGTGTTCTTGAGAGGAGGGATGGAGTTAGGAGCTTTATTGAGGGTTTAGGATTTCCCAGCGAGCTTGTCCAAGACGGGGTTCAAAGAGGTCTTTTTTGAGGGCCTAGAGTGTTTAAGGGTTTTTACAGACCTTTAGAGTCCCGCTGTGAGAGGAGATTCGAGTGGTGGACAGCCAGTTGAAACTGGAGCGGCTGATTCAAAAGGAGTCCAGTGCTGGGCACAACGCCACTCGGCGGCAACCTGTTTTTCCGGACTCGACTTGCCTAAACCCTTAACCCTGAACCCTCCCCTGTCTGCCCTCCATGAAACAGAGCCCAAACTGGGCTCTGCATTAGCATCTCTCTGGGTGCGCCATGGCTACTCAGAATTGAAAAGAGCACTCTTCGAGCGCGCCGGATCACTAGGCTGAAACCTATACAGCCCTAAACCCTAAACCCTAAACCCTAAACCCCTAAGGAAAAGCGCTTTTAGGGCTTTTGTCTGGAGTTCGGGTTTCCGGATCTAGGACCCTGAGCAGACCCTACTTCCCTTTTTTCAGGGCCTAGGTTCTCTTCTAAGCACCTTTTTTTACCCAACAAGGCTCCCCCGTCTTTCTTCCTAGACCCTAAACCCTAAACCCTAAACCCTAAACCCTAAACCCTAAACCCTAAACCCTACTCTTCGGCCCAGGTCAAGCTGCGCGCACGCACCGTCCAGAACAAGGAGGGGCCCCAGGAGTTGACGTCAACCCACGAATGGCATGTTCACAGAGTCCTAGCTGGGAGGATGGAGGGTTTAGGGTTTAGGGTTTAGGGTTTAGGGTTTAGGGTTTAGGGTTTAGGGTTTAGGGTTTAGGGTTTAGGGTTTAGGGTTTAGGGTTTAGGGTTTAGGGTTTAGGATTTAGGGTGTCCCCTGTATACGAACACTCCTTAAAAGGGATTGTAGTACCCCGCTACTATAATCCCCATTGAGGATTGTTAGTCTAAGGGGGAACATCCCGAGTTGAGGGTTGAGTTTAGGGTTCGAGAGATGGTTGACGTTTCGAATGCCTGGGATAGAGAGAGAGGGAGAGGGTTCGGGAGAAAAAGGGTTAAGGGTTTGCGGTTGTCAAGCCCTTGAAGGCTTTGCTGAGAGCGCCTTGAAGGGTTTGTTGAGAGTGGAGTAGAGATGGGGCTGTTGCGAGCGCGACGTGTAAAAGCCCTTAACCCCAAACCCTTAACCCCAAACCCTAAACCCCAAGCCCTAAACCCCAAACCCTAAACCCTAAACCCCAAACCCCAAACCCTGAACCCTGAACCCCAAACCCTAAACCCTAAACCCTCCAAGCCGCCGAGGAAAAGCCGTGAATCTTCCCAGAGCACAGGATGGACAGAGGACGCCAGAAGCTTCTTTTTTGGGTTTAGGGTTTATAGGGACCAAGTAGTAGGGATTGAGGTTTAGGGTTTAGGGTTTAGGGTTTAGGGTTTAGGGTTTAGGGTTTAGGGTTTAGGGTTCAGGGTGGATCCGCTTAGAATAAGGACCCCCAATAAGGTACCCCTAATTTCGGAAGCCCCCGCATGTGACGATCATGCCACCGACACTGGTTCGAAGAAGACAGCAGCAGACAGGATCAACGTTTCTGAACGTGAAGGCCCCTTGCATTCTGTCGCCTGAAGACCCATGTAGCTGGCCCAGACTCCGAGTGCCGGAGAGTACGTGGATTGTTGTACCCAATTACCATATCTCCTAGACTTGAAAACCCGAATTATGGCCCAATTCCAATGCATAATTTTTAGGCAAGGGGGGGGGGGGAGACTCGGAGCAGTACACATGGTAACTTTCCAACCCTAAACCCGTTCGAAGTGAGTGCGCTAGCTTGCTGGAGAGTGCGGCAGAGAGAGAGAGAGAGAGAGAGAGAAAAAAAAAAAGAGAGAACCGCCATAAACCATACTGTCACCCTCAACCCTAGACGACAAATCCCAAAACTCCCAAACCGTGAGCCCCTACCCTAAACCTAAACCCTAAGCCCTCTATAAACCCTAAACCCTGAACCCTAAAGCCTAAACCCGAAACCCGAACCCAGTTTATACCCTTACTGGACCCACCTCCAAGCAGTGGCAGGACAACGGACTTGCAGATCGCCTTCTGCCAGACGGCTCCGACTCTTCGGCATGTTTAATACAGAGGGGCAGAACAAAAGGTTCATCGGGTTTAGGGTTTACGCCTCCGATGTGTACGGAGATACAGGGTCGAAAGTTGGCAGAGATATATGTTCTTAGGGCAGTTATAAGTTGTTAGGAATAGTTATGTAGAGATAGCATTAAGTCAAGTTATGTTTCCTATCTTTTTTCTATCTTTCTGTATCTTTTCGTATGTGTTTTCGGGCGTAGATCTTGGTTTTGGGACATACAGTATTAAGAGATGGTCGAAGTACGCCGCTAGAGCCTTTTCTTGACATCGCGGGCCAATTTCAGGCAAAAAGAGAAAGTGCATGCCTGCGATATGTTTTTTGGAGGACGCCATCCGTCTCATTCCTGACATGAAAGAGGTGCAAGTAAAGCCTCAGCCCTAAACCCGAACCTTAAACCGTCAACCGTATAGACCCTAAACCCTAAATCCTTGACCCCAACCTTTAACCCTTAACCCTAAACCCTTAACCCTAAACCATAAATCCAAAGACCTAAAACTTGTATTGCCGGCATCGAAACACTACTGCATGTAAGTGCAAAACGGAGACAAAAAGAACGCAAAACGGACGACGAAACTGAGCCGGATCGGGACGGATCGGATCGGATCGGGGGTATGATGGGGGGAGTTTTTTTACGAACGGAAAGGGCGGATCGCCCGAAGCTTCCTCCAAACTCCAGGAACTGCTCCGGCGGATCGGATCGGATCGGATCGGGGTGGATAGGGCTGAGTCGGCCGGACGGCCAAAAAAAAAACAACATCACGAAAACCTCACACGAGCGACAAGAAATCACAAGCAACATGCTGCAGCCACAGCTTACTACTACGTACATGTTCGGTCATGCTCGCGTTGTCCTAAGGTCATATGAGATGAAGAGCTGCTCGCATACGCACGCGCAAATCCTGACTTCCGCGCGGTGGTCCTGTCCGCTGCGGACAACGCGTGTGCACAGGACAAGCACGCGTGCTAATTCTGATGCGTCGCGCTTCTGTTCTCTGCTGTGTCTGCTCGCCACATAAGCAAGACATTGACCGAATTTAGGCTTGCAGGAAAGAAAATGCGAATCCAGCACCGAAAGTATGCCCAAACTTGCTTGCTGACTCTGTTTCAGGAAAACACTCTCCTAAACGTATCTTTGGCTATCTTTCTGTATCCTTTTTTCTAACTTGCCGTATGTCTCTGGCGAAACTTAACATGAGATGCTAAAAACTTATACCTCTGCTATGTAGATGCATGTTGATATATAAACTTACAAGAACACTTGCGACCTAAAAACTTAGCAAGAGTTATAAGGGGGTTAGGGGGTGGTTATACGGGGGTTACAACTGCCTGCAACTTGTTACATCTCAGCCAACTTCAGCCCTGCATCTCCGTAGGGTTTAGGGTTTAGGGTTTAAGGTTTAGGGTTTAGCGCTTAGAGGGTTTAGGGTTTAGTTCGAAGCCAGTGTGACCTCGGCAAGAAAGCCGCCTGGGATGTTATAAACCCTTGCTGTTTGAAGGAAGGCCCAGGATGAGCGAAGTGGGCAGAGTCAGGTCCTTCCAGGTACTTGCGCCCATGGGGTTGTCGGAAAGGGCTTTAAACCATACAGCCCTCAGGCTGTAGATCATGCGCATGGGACGTAGATGTTCTCCAGATTTAGGGAAGGGTAGGAGCCTGATGCACATGTGAGGGCTGTGAGCCCCAAGCAGCATAGTCATCTATCGTTGCATCTGCAGCACTCAGTCTGTGTGCTCTTGAGCTAGAGGACATAGCTGGTGTACAGTTCGAAGAGGCGCAACACTCAAGGTGATCATGCAGCAATGGCCGCTGCAGCATGGTGCCAAGACAGACGAAGTTGAAGACATGCTCTTCCACCAAAACGCCTCTAGTGAGCATCTCGTCGTGCTCATGGAGTGGGAGGAAGAGGTGATGGAGAGGGCGATGAGAGCGCCGCGGGCGGACGCACTGGGCAGGCAGCGTGAGCAGGTACTCCAGAGCATGATGAAGCTGGCAAGCGCCTGTGGGCTGGACCAGGATGGCTGGTCCTGCGCCGTGTCTCTGCTCGACTCCTACTTGGCTTCCTTGGGCAACAACGCCTACGACCTCCAGATGCTTCCGCTCACCTGTGCCGCAGTGGTCCGTTTGGTGAAAAAGTTCCACGGGAACGGGAATGTGGCGGACCAAATGGGTTCTGGCATGTGGCTGCTCAGCATGGCCAAGCAGGTGCTGCCGATCCAAGGCGGGCGGAGGGAGTTTTCGGAGACGAAGCTCGGAGAGCATGAGGCCGAGATTTTGCAGACGATGCAATGGCAGCTTAGGTACACTTGCAAATACATTTTCTTATTTTTGGCTACTCTATAATTCCCAAGAAACAGCAAGAAATATCTATTTCTTGCTAGGGTTTCAAGTTCAGTATAGGCAGATCCGGGAACCACTGCAGCAGCAGTTGCTGACGGTGTACTGCAGGCGTTTCGGTGCCCTGACTTCACAGCAATACGAGCCTGAAATCGCCTGGGTCAAGCAGAAATCCATGTTCTTTGCCCGCTTGCTGCTCTTCGTTGAGGCGACTTCCACACGCAACCCGCCTCGAAAATTCGCCCTGGGCATGTTCTGCCTTGGCCTGGCGTGGAGACAGATGCTATCACAGGAGTGCCTTGCGTGCCTTTGCCCGGACGATGTCCAGGTCGCCGACTGGATCTCTGCCCTGCAGCAGCTCAACCTGCCTGGGCATGTCGAACCCGCCCCCCACTCGCTGGTTGAGGAGCTACCTCTCATTGAGGCGGCCACGGCCGCCAGCAGACGCGAACTTCAGGTGGCCACACGCCAGGTTGTACATAAATTGCTGGAGTTGCGCGCCAACCACCCAACGATGCTAGCAGCATTGAATGCCTAGGCAGGTGCTATGTACCATAGACTGTACCCATCCCTGCTCGTCATTTGTCCACAGCCTAGCGTTCTGGCCGGGGTTCGGCTGCAGCTCGGGGAGTAGGAGCAGCAGCAAAGGTAACACCCCGTGAGACCACTTTGCTAGAACATCTTCATAAACTCTCATATACATATAGGTATGCCTTCTCTCTCTCTGTACATATACACAAGGTGTGTACATATATATATATGTATACATGTATATCTATACGTACAACTTTTGCTGTATACCTTGTCTCTCTCTCTTTCATCTCATATAATATTATATATATATTTTTTTATGCATCTGATGCATTTTTTACATCTGTAGATCGATACATACGACAATGGCCGGCCATGTGATGTACGATTTTTCTCGACCGCTTGCTGAACTGGCTGCTGCTTCACGCCCTCAGATCTCCAACCTCGGCCTTTGTTCCGGTGATGCTTTGTAGGCATCTCATCCCAGGATGCCCAGTAGTACTCTTATTCCCTTTTTGAGAGGTTTAGGTTCCCTTATGATCCGTGTTAAGCAAAAAGGGCACCCTTGTTCATGCTAGGTTACTGGGCAACCCTAAACCCTAAGCCCCAAGCATCATAAACCCCAGCATCATAAACCCCCTCATATACTTTAACGATATTTCCTTAGGCCTTTCTGGGCTTCACACTCGGTAGGAGGCAGGACTCAACAGTCTCCGCCATTTCTTTCGAATTGTGCTGTTGAATTGTTATCAGGCCCGCTCCGGGATCGGAGATGAACTGTTTCACTGCCCGTGCAAGCCCAATTAATACGAGATTTCGATCAGAGCATGGCCGGCGAACTGCCGGCTCGTCTACAACGCGCAGCGCTCCACAGCTACAAAGAACTACTTTCGCCTGTTCCGAGCCACAGGGCTTACTTGGGACCCCCTTTACCTACAGTTTCATGGGTCATGCCCTATGCTGATTAAGTGTAGTGAATGACTACTAAACTATAGGTATATAGAGTCCCAGGTATTGAGACTGCCATGAAGAAGCCTGTAGTCGCAATGCGCTTCGAGACCCGGCCTCGGAGGATGTTCTTGAAACGACCGCACGCCCCGAAGGCAGCATAAGCCACAAGACATGCACAGGTCACCTTTTGCAGGCCGATAGGGTTTAGGGCTTAGGGTGCGTGCATGGGCCTTGATTATAAACGAGCTTCACTTTAAAACGAAAATCTTGTGTATGAAAGAGATCCACGTCGTGGTAACTTCGTTTAGCTTGGCTCAGCAGCCCCTAAGCCCTAAGCCGTAAGATGTAAGCCCTATAAGCAGTAAGCGATAAGCCCTGAGCCCGAACCCTGCAGGCTTTGTGTTCGATGGCCCTGGGAGGCAGCCCCCCAAATTGTTGTTTTTATTCGGATTCTGTATACCCTGTACACCCTAAACACAGAAGACCTCATGGGGGGGCATTTTGCCAAATGGTTTCTGATGGCTCTATGGGACCCTAAACCCTAAACCCTAAAAAAAACCCTAAACAAGCCCTTAAACCCGCAAAAGCCGTCAGGAATGTCATGGAGCAGCTCCCAGCATTTGCTTGGCTTCCACTGCGCTCTTACGGGCGCCTGAGCTACCAAGACCGGGTCGAATCTCCACACCCAGAGCTGCCCTAAGCCAAAACCCTTCAAGAGTTTAGGGTAGGCCCTGGGGCTATTTTATACTTCCTTTATTGGGCTTAAGAGGATATATTCAGGAATCCTTTTTCAGAGGGCCTAAGGGGCTATTTTATACTTTCCCTTATTGGGCTTAAGAGGATATATTCAGGAATCTTTTTTCAGAGGGCCTAAGGGGGCCAGCCTAGAGTTGAGTAAGCAGTTTCTGGGTTTTGGAGTACTATACTTTAATACTTTTTTTGGTTCTGGGTTCCTACTATAGATACTTATACCGAAAAAGTATATACTTTTTTTCCAGGGTCTACTCCAAAGGTGGGGAGTTTGGTGTTGGGACCGGGCTGGTGGACAACGAGGGGCTCGATGGGGGCTTCCTTTTACGGTCTCGCAAGGTTGCTTTCTTGATCGGGAGAGTACCTTTTTCGGGATCCAAGTATACACATAACACCCACAGTGGGGTCTCAAGTCTGCAAATAATACCTATGTTAAGGCTCTTTGGAGCCTTAAGGTTTGTGAATACCCTTAAGGTTCCTAAACTCTGAATCCCTGCCTTGAACCACATGCCCTTTTTCACGACGGGCACCCGGAGGCCGAAAAGTCTACACTGTAGCCTATAGCCTCGCCCTCGCTTCCTTGCAGGTGTTGAGTCGGTGACCTTTGAACTTTACTTGGAGGTTCATGGGTACTTATAACCCCGATTAGAAGTCTACTTATAACCTATTTAGAGGACTTAGGGGACTTATAAGTGCGGTTATGATTGGATTGGGGTTGTAAGTACTCTGAGCCTGCCAGTAGTTCTCGAAGTACTAGAAGCCCCCTGAAAGCCCAAAGCTAAACTTTTCACTGGAAAACTCAGCCGGTTAGATGACGCAGCCTCGCGAGAGGTTCCGCTTCATACTTCAAGCTGACTGGGCCGTGCCGTCCTCCCGCGAAGCGATCCTGGCAGAGAACCAGTTGAACCAATGTCTGAGGCCAGAGCTGGAGGAAACGTACACGCCTATCCATAGCAGCACTAGCCTTTGCACCTAACAACTTGGCTTGGGGGATATGACTCAACGTCATAGGCAGTACGATCCTGATGCATTGCCAGGTCTTCGAGGCACTGCTCATGTGGTAGGGTTGGTTTCGGCTGTTGAGGCTGCCGCATCCGAAGCCCGTTACCGCAAACCCATTCAGGACCCTAGACTCACCAGACGCATCCCAAACGATTGAAGCCGCCAGAGGAACAGGAAAAAGGCCGCGCCCTAAACCCTACACCCTAAACCCTAAACCCTAAACCCAAATGGTTCCAGACAGGCGTGAGCTGCCCAACGTCTTCTGCAACTTGATCGAGGCGCGGCCCAGCAGAGCGCAACCTGAGAGCTAGAGTTTAAGGTTTAGGGTTTAGGGTTTAGGGTTTAGGGTTTCGCTTCAACCCTCCGCAACCTAGATGCTTTGCCAAGCAGCCGAGAGCCAAAGATCAACCCGCTTACTGGTGCTTTAAGGGCAGTGGATCTAGGCACTGCTCTAACAGGTATCTCGAGATAAGAGCTCTTGCCTATAAGCTACGAGGTACCCCATTCCCTCATTCCTTACAAAAGGGGTTTAGGGTTCAGGATTCAGGGTCTAGGGTTTAGGGTTTGGGCCTTTCAATTGCCGTCTCCGGGAGGAGCTTGCGACAAGTGCGCTGGCTTGTGCTGACAGCGCTCAGCGCATGAGACTCGCCTGTCCGGAGTTGACGATCAACCCTGACAGCCTCAAAAGCATCCCTCGGTAGGCCCTTGGGAGTTCTGATATTTCCCCTTATTGGGATGAAGAGGACCGTATTTAGGAATCTTTTCAAAGGTTGAAGGGCCTCCCAGATCCAACCAACCCCGTACAGTCTCCTGAAATCCCAAAAGCAGTACAACCCTACCTAAAGGCTCCTGATGCAGTACCTTCTTGGTGTCTTATGCTATAACCGCCTTTCACTATCCCAGAAAAGAACCACTTTGGAGTTTTCAGATAAACCCTAAAAAACCCTTCAAACCCCAAGCTCCGCACGCTCAGGGATGCCTTCAAGCGCCTCTATTCCCTGATCCCTTTGCCCGGCGAGACTGCCGAGTTCTTTGCGGAGTCTCCCCGGACGATCATGCAGGTGAGTGGCTGCCAAAGAGTTCTGAAACCATAAGCCCTACCTAGGAGTCTATTTTTCCTGAGATCTAGTAGTAGCTACCCTTAATTAGTAGGTATAACTTATAAAACTGTAGGTAAAGAGATTTTCAGGTAATCCCTGTAAGGGTTGAACTCTTTCACGTGGGCTTCGGGCCTACAGCTTTGAGGGACCTCAGATTCTAAAAGGTTGTGTGTGGTCATGGTGGCTTCTGAAAGGTCTGGCCACGTCAATGTCTCAGTTTCCTGGTAATTACGCAGTTTCTCATGCAGGTGCTTGCGAAGCGAAACTTTCTTCTGGCGCAGCACAAGGGCAGCTACATCTTGGTGTCGCCGACAGAGGTGGTTCGCCCGGAGCTTCCCGCAGGAGTCGACACGCACTTGAGCGCAGACATCAAGAAGGAGCTGCCTGGACAATGGGGGGTTTTACGATATCAGAGGTACGTTATTGGGGTCCTTGTTATAAGGGGATACTACTTTTTTGAGGGGTGATTAGGAGTCCCTTATCATCGTAAACTCCTAGATTGAACACGGAAGAGTCAATGGCCAGCGGGAGCAAATAAGCCATCAACAGGGATACGCAAGCCCCAAAGCCACACATCATTCTTTTGGAATTCTTTCAGCAGCAGCTGGACAACTCAGGTTGGAAGGAGTATTGAACCGAGGCAGGCGATACATCCCGGCGGAAGGATTCTTGGTCATAGTTGGGTAACATTTTACATTTTTAAGGGTACTTAAACCCAATAAGGAGTATAATTTTTAAATTTTTCATACGATCCCAACCATGAACTAGGATTGAGCAGCCAGCTCGCAACAGCTCTGCACATCCCGAACCTCGACGCTGGCATTGCCGTCGAATGTCTCTTCGATGCCTTCGTAATCACGCTCTCTCCTTTTTCTGACATGCGAAGCTGCAAGCACGACTGAAACACTGTACAGTACCTGTCAATATTGTTATGAAGGGTACAATAACCCTAAACCCCAAACCCTAAACCCATATATATATATATATATATACCTATATATATATATATCCACCAGTGTTCAACCCACAGAAGCTATATACCCCAAACCCTATACCCTAAACCCTAAACCCGAAGCTCTATAAACCCTGAACCCTAAACCCGAAACTCTATAAACCCAGAACCCTAAACCCTAAACTCTATAAACCCTAAACTCTATAAACCCTAAACCCTAAACCCTAAACCCTAAACCCTAAACCCTAAACCCTACACATCGGAGCCTTCAGAGGAAGCTCCCCCTAGCTGAGGTTTGAGCCGCCTGTCCCGGGAGGATGCCCCCGCCCGGAAGCGCTCCGACGCGGACCTCGGGTTGCTCCACTTGCTGTTCCACGTGGCTGGGTTAGGGTTTAGGGTTTAGGGTTTAGGGTTTAGGGTTTAGGGTTTAGGGTTTAGGGTTTAGGGTTTAGGGTTTAGGGTTTAGGGTTTAGGGTTTACAAGGTTTAGGGTGAAGGGCCTGTTCATTACATCTTTATGTATACCTGAACCCATATATACTTGAGAGCAATTGCCGTGTCTAACGGTACCTCAGCAAGATCCCAGGTGGTGGCTTCCAACATGGCAGCTTATCTGGTCTTAGAGTCTTCCTAGGTCCACAGACCGAGGAGAGTTTCGGAATGTGTTTCTCTGTGATGTTGAGAGTCGGAACCATGATGGTTCAGGGTGTAGGGTTTCTAGAATTTAGGGTAATTAGACAAACATCGAGTATTGTCAGACAATTAACTTTTCCGAGAACTTTCGACCTTCAGCTGGGCTTGGAAGTCAACATACTTGGGCGCACCCCATTCGAGAGCAACCTGCGCAGTCCCGAAAAGAATCAGTTCCCTTAATCGCTTGGCTACCTTCAAGGGGACGCCAAGGTGAATGCGCAGCCGACGCTGCTTCAAAACCTTCGCGTGCTGCCAGCAATCCCGACTGAGAGTGGCAAACTCCATGCAGCAGCAGATCAGGTGGGGGTTTCCGAACTTAGGGGTACCTTATTGGGACCCTTCTCAACCTCAACCCTAAACCCTAAATCCTAAACCTTAAACCCTAAACCCTAAACCTAATTTTCGTAACCTCCAGGTGTACATGGTCGACGAGGCCATGGCAAAGATGCTGCAGGGCTACGCTGAGGGCCTCAGCCTGCGATTCAGACACTTGGTAGGTTAGTGGGGTGTAGGGTTTAGGGTTTAGGGTTTAGGGTTTAGGGTTTAGGGTTTAGGGTTTAGGGTTTAGGGTTTAGGGTTTAGGGTTTAGGGTTTAGGGTTTAGGGTTTAGGGTTGGGATTCCGACACCTTGGTTGCCCAGTGGTACCCTTCTTCCATTTTTTGGGGGGTTCAGGGTTCCCTTATGAAGTATCCAACTTTAAAAAGGGTACCTTGTAAAGTAACCAAACCAACGAAGGGTAGCCTTATATGGTTGCTGGGCTACCAAGGACAGATGATGCACTCGAAAGTCGAGGGCTTGTTTAAGCAGCTGGGCGTGCTGCAAACCGATGGCCCAAGGTTTCTCAGGGACCTCCTGCTGCCGATGCTCACTGCTGCCTGGTAGCCCAGTGGTGCCCTTTACCCTTTTTGGGGTTCTGGGTTCCAACCCTAAACCCTAAACCCTAAACCCTAAACCCTAAACCCTAAACCCTAAACCCTAAACCCTAAACCCTAAACCCTAAACCCTAAACCCCCAAAAAGGGTGCCCTTATTGTAATGTTACTGGGTTACCAAGGCGGACACTGCGGCCGAGATGCGCCCGCTTCTTGCTGCCACGCAGAGGGCGCGGCGGATCCTGGCAGACATGAAGCCGGAACCTTGGAGTTGACCTGGAACGTTTAGGGTTCAGGGTTTAGGGTTTAGGGTTTAGGGTTTAGGGTTTAGGGTTTAGGGTTTAGGGTTCAGGGTTTAGGGTTTAGGGTTTAGGGTTTAGGGGACTCACACAGCAGCTCAGCTCACATGTCACGAACGCCCAGGAACAGAGGAAGAGCATGATCGGCATGCTTCGCGAGAAGATGTGGGTGGCAGTGGGCGTCTTTGACAGTAGCTCTGGTCAGTTGCGCACTCTCCTGCAACCGGTCCGTAGCCTGTCAGCACAGAGTTAAACTCATCGCTCGCCACCCTAGACCCCTGAACCCTAAGCCTTATATCTTTTACCCTCAAAAGAACTTCTACCCCTAAACCCTAGACTCTAAACCCTACAAGCCTACACGGCCTTAACTACCAATTTCTTAAGAACCCCGAAAAAAAACATAATATTCTTCCTAACCAAGGTCACTAAAGGGATTATTATTTGTTTATTCTTTTGGGGTTCTTAAGCAAAACCCTAAACCCTAAACCCTAAACCCTAAACCCTAAACCCTAAACCCTAAACCCTAATAGTAGTTAAGGAGTTTCCAAAACTGCCGTGCACATCCAGCCCTTGCCCGTGACACTTCGCACGCATTGGGCTGGACCACCTTGGCTGACCCCGAGCCATTTGTACATCGCGGCTGAGGACCAGACACTACTATATCCCCCTTGAAATTAGGTTTTTTATGTTTGTTTATATAAAAAAACCCAAGAGGATGTGGACAATATTGTTTTTTATTAAGGTTCTAGGAGGACCAGACGCTCATGTGTCCTCTCCCAGCACACCCAAAGAAGGGCCGGTAGGACTTGTACAATGTTTGGAGCTTAGGGTTTGGGGTCTAGGGTTTGGGTATTGTAGGCAACGCGGATGGTGCTGGTTATTATGTTTTAGGCTGGGACAAATCAGCCCTACCTCAAAGTCCCACATCCGTCCCCCAAAAGCCCCCCTCAGCCCCTCAACCCCTGAAGCTAAGCCTAAACCCGACACGTCTCCAGCTAGGCAGGTGGTTCAAGGGTTTGTCAAGCTGAGGGTTCAGAACCGGGTTTATGTTTTAGCCTGTACACCCCAAACCCCAGATCCTAAACTCTAGGGTTGCGGGTTGTTAGGGCTTTATACGGGCTCGTGGAGGACCAGCCGGGTGGCTTCACATGGTCCCTGAATATGGTCTCTGACCTTCTTTAACGGGTTCTCATGTATGTAGGGTATATAAAGAGTAAATAACGGGGTCCCCGTTTAAGGGCCCATATTAAGGGACCATGCAACTACCCGAAGAGAGGACCCCAACCCCAATTAAACCTCAAACCCTAAACCCTAGACCCTAAACCCTAACTACCCGAAGAGAGGACCAGCCGGGCAGCTTCACATGGGCGCAGTTTTGGCAGGAATTGGGCTGCTGGCCTGCAGTGAGCGTGGAGGCTCCTGACCCTGGTCCAGGCCACAGTTCAATGGATTTCAAGGGTTTAGGGTTTAGGGTTTAGGGTCTGGTTTTCGGTGTAGTTTAGGGTTGAGGAACCCTCAACCCGAACCCCCCCAAAACTCCCTCAAAGAGAAGGTCAGGCCCACGTTTTGGCCTCCGAAGCCCTATGCTTAAACGACTATGGGCTTCTTAAGGGAGGTTCATGGGGGGTTTAGGGGTCAGGGTTTAGGGTTTAGGGTTTAACTTAAGGAAGCTTAGGGAGCCTTAGGGAGTAGTGGGGAGTATCATTAGGCCTTGGGTTACATACCCCCCTTGAACCCCCCTCCCCTAAGAACACTATGAACTCAGGGACTGGGTAGGTAACATCTAACCTTCTATGGTAGCCAAGTGGTATCCTTTTACCCTTTTTTTGGTTCAAGGTGTCCCTTATACACTAACCAACCCAAACAAAGGTGTGCCCTTATTGTAATATGGTTACTGAGATACCAAGCCTCTTCGGTTATATAGAATCCTACCATGTGTAAAAAGCCTAGCTTTTTTTGGGGGCAAGGGTACTTCAGCCCCTACGTCAACCTCATCAGTTTGGGATGCTCCCCCTTATACCAAGAGCCCTTAGTAGGGATGATAGTAGGGTGTGCTATAGTCCCTATTAAGGGCTGTTAGTTGCTCCCCCATTATACCAAGAGCCCTTAGTAGGGACTCTAGTAGGGTGTGCTATAGTCCCTATTAAGGGCTGTTAGTATAAGGGGGCAACATCCCGAAAAGTCAACCTCACCAGTCCTCCTACGGTTTTTTTTGGGAGGACAAAGCGCCGACTTCGCTAACATCCTGCGCACCCTCGAGCCTTCGTAGCTGAGTGAGTGCACTTTACTACCACTTTTTTGGGGATACTCTTATCCCCTAAACCCTTAACCCTAAGCCCTAAACCCTAAACCCTTAAATCCTAAACCCTAAACCCTACTAGAACTGAAAGTGCACACTTTCTCAGGGGGCTTGTGCACTCCGCAACTAAGGAGCGGATCTCCTCCACGCCTTCTTTGGGCGCTGCAGTGGCCCAGAATCTGGGTCAAGGGATGTCAAGGGGTTTGGGGTTTAGGGTTTAGGGTTTAGAGTTTAGGGGTTTGGGGTTTGGGGTTAGGGCCTGAGGTTGAAGGTTGAGGGGATTAGCGCCTTAAGTACAAGCAGGAGATGGACATTGTTCGAAATTTGTTTGTGAGCTGGTTGGCTCCTGACTTTGCCAACCCAATTGTTGCTTCCTTCAAAACCCCCAACAAGAACTATAAACTCCACCCTAAACCCTAGACCCTGGACCCTAAACCCTAAACCCTACAAACCCTATGTACGTAGGACCTCTATGTACAGTGTGGGAAATACTTTTCTGTTTGCTGTATATATATATATACATATACGATAATATATATATATATATATAATTATATTTGTTCAAGCTTACAAATGTTAAATTGTTTTATCAATTTAATTTTAAAGGTAAAACTGCTAAAATTGATAGAACAAACTTACCAATTTTATCAATTTTATCAATTTTACTTGAAATTTTTTACTTTCAAGGTAAAATTGATGAAATTGATAAAATTGGTAAGTTTTGTTTTGTGGAGTCCCAGAAAACATTAACATTGATAAAATTGATAAAATGGGTAAGTCTTCTTTATCATTTTTATCAATTTTACCTTTAAAGTAGAATTGCGAAAAGTGATAAAATTTGTAAGTTTTGATAATCAATTTTAACAACTTTACTTTAAAGTTAAAGTTGACAAAATTGATTAAGAAAAGACTGACCAATTTTATCGATTTTTTCAATTTTGTCATTTTTAATCTTCTTCTGGGACTCCACAATTTTTTTCCAATTTTATGAATTTTATCAATTTTACTTTAAAGGTAAAATAGATAAAATTGATATATAAAGAAGACTTACCAATTGTAACAAATATATCAATTTCAACATTTGTTTATCAATTTTAATGTTTTGTGAGACTCCACAAAAAAAAGCTTACCAACTTTATGAAGTTCATCAATTTCACTTTAAAGGTACAACGTCCATGGCACATAAACCCTATAACCCTATAACCCTATAACCCTATAACCCTACAACCCTACAACCCTATAACCCTATAACCCTATAACCCTATAACCCTATAACCCTATAACCCTATAACCCTATAACCCTATAACCCTATAACCCTAAACCCTAAACCCTGAACCCTGAACCCTGAACCCTGAACCTGAAAACCCCCTAAACCCTAAACCCTAAAACCCTAAACCCTAAACCCTAAACCCTAAACCCTAAACCCTAAACCCTAAAACCCTAAAAGCCCTAAACCCTAAACCCTAAACCCTAAACCCTAAACCCCAACCCTAAACCCTAAACTCAGCAGCCCAGGAAGGGAGCCTGTGAAGTGGTGGCCTTGCTGGCGCCACATGGCCCTTTCTACGCGAAGTATTTTCCAGCCAACAAAGACGCCGTTGCCAGCACTGCTGCTGTGGTCCCGTCTGGAAATATGCTTTTTATTCTTGTGAAAGCGATGTTCCCCCTTGTACTAACAGTCCTTCATGGGGATTATAGTACCCCCTAGTATAATCCCGATTGAGGGCATTAAGGGCTGTTAGTATAAGGGGGAACGTCCCAAGGTGTATTAGTACCAATGTGTTTGCATGTGTCCAGGTTGTGCCAGCGTCGCTTGCCCGAATGTTATGTACCTCGCCATGGCTACCTGCATGGTCAGCAGATCGGCTCCTGACGCCTGGGGATGGCTGGGTCCCCGTGACGGGGCGAGGTGAAGAAACGGCTCGTAGCTGTAAGTTTCTGGCCAGCAGCTGTTTTCATAGCAGCGTCCAGCAGCTGGCGGAGAAATGGCCGTTTCTCGACCTTGCCAAGACCCCGACTGCCAAAATCATCGTGCGCACCCTCAAGTACCACTCAAGTTCACCGGAGCAGGTTTGGAGCATCAGGGAGATGGCCAAGGTTTACAAAGCACTGTGGTGGGCATGCTACACGGAAAGCATTTGGTACACAAGTCCGGAGTTGGGAGAGCAGCCATCGCCAGCAGCATGTGAGGTTCGACATCACTTGATTCATGAGCCATGGATTTTTCTGCCCAACCACAGGCGAGGCAGTCTTAATGCCAGTCACGAGGAGCAGGGCACGTTTTTGCCGGCAAAGTCCTTGGCGTTGTATGACCGGTCTGGCTTGCTCAGTGATCGCCAGTTTGACGGAGTCAGTGGCGACATGGTCTGGACAGTTTCTCAAAGTGTCTGCTCGCGAACTGTCAAGGAGCACTACAAAGACCCGGATGTTCGGGCATTGTTTAGGGAATGGGGAGTTCCTTCTGAATTTGGGTGGGACGTGTACCTGGATGTGCTGCGGACGGTCGACGGACTTGTGAGTGCAAAGAGCCAGGATCACGTGTGGGATCAAGATAAGACTCTGCATCTAGACCGCATTCGGAAACAGGCTTTAAGCTTAGTTGGCCATAATGATTCGGAGCCTTAATTCAGCCAATCCCCTGCTACGAACATCTCCCCAAGACCCAGGTGTGATGTTTATACCAATTCTAAGAACGGTCAAGGCATGAGATTGTCTGGCGCGTTGTCGCCATTTTGGGAAAACTGCCAATCGATGAAGATGTCGACGATGCTGAAGCCCAAGGCAAGTTAAATGCCTTCTGCGTTTCGGTTTTGGGTTTCGAGCCCTCAGCCCCAAACTCCAAACCCGAGTGTTCAGGGAGCGCAGTCTATTGCTCATGACTTGACTTAGAAGGCTTGGGGACATGTTTCGAAGCGCTAGGCGAAAATGCCGATGCCGGTGAACAGGTCGAGCCAGAGGAGGACGCGCGCAAACACACACACACACACACACACACACACATACATACATACATACATACATACATACATACATACATACATACATACATACAAACGATGCAGTTGCATTCAGAGCAATATGCGCCTGGAGACGAGGTTCGCTTCAGGATGCAATGTCAACCTGGAGTTTTGCCGGTCGTCGAGAGTCAGTGAATTTTGAGAGTGCCCTAACACGCTGACGCTACACCTTAACGCCGCCCTCCTCAACCACCCTAAACCCTAAACCGCCCAAAGCCCTCCAGGACGGGCTATCATACCCTATAATCCCTTAAAAGGCCCTTTATAGGGTTCATTATTGGGATTATAATCCCTTAAAAGGCCCTTTATAGGGTTCATTATGGGGATTATAATCCCTTAAAAGGCCCTTTATAGGGTTCATTATGGGGATTGTAAGGCCTAATAGCCCATCCTGGTAAACCCTCCAGGATGTGGATGTGACAGAGACGGCAGTTTTGCGCCAGTTTGTCGAGGACCCTGGCTCCCATCGGGTTTGGGGTTTAGGATTTAGGGTTTAGGGTTTAGGGTTTAGGGTTTAGGGTTTGGAGGGTTTAAGGTTGAATGTTTTCAGCCCCAACCCCGCACACAAAACGGCTTGACGGAGCTAGACTGCAGACGCAGAATCGCAGCAGACTACTATTTTCGGATGTTGGCTGCTGTCCATGCACCCTAGAGCTTAGGATGTTGTGGGCTTGCCGCTATGCAATCGCAGTGACTTTTGCAGAGGACGCAAAGCCCTGCCCTTGAACTTCATTAGAAACGTCCCCCGAAGAAATGCCAAACTAGCAATCATCGCTTAAACATCCCGAAGCCCCAAACCTCAGTCTTCCAGCCTCAACACCCTTCGCACCCCCATGCGGCAATACGAACCTTTGATAGGGTTCGCAGCCTAACTTTCACCAGGCCAAAACATCTCAACACCATGGGCCCTTCATTCTCTGTGGGACGCCCACCCTTATCAAACCGTGTGAATAAACAACAAGGTGCAGCCGGCGTCTTCCTGTGCTACTGGGGAATCTAGGTTGTGGAACTTAAGCGAACAAGATGGATGTATCGTTCATGTTTGTGCCTAACCTAATTCTGGTAAATTAGTTGAAGTTTCTGAACATGTCCCTCGGTTCTTCCGCGAGAGGCGGCCAAGGAGCTCCGAATTGTTTGGACGTGCTCCCGCCGCTTTCGAAAGCTCTTCGGCCCCAATGCTTAGGACATGGCATGTCAGTGTCAATGTTGCCTATGCTCGTCCAAGTTCATGACATGATATCGGTTCCGCCTTGGGATCCGGCTAGGCTGTTTGTGAATGCCGGGTCCCGCAAAGACACGTTCAGAAGTTTCGGAGGATTCTGCACATGCCGTCCACATGCATTTGGTTGTGGAAGCCCAGGCCCAGCGAGGTTCCCTTCATCGCAGACACCAGCAGGTGGCAGGAGCAGGCAAAGCACTTCGCAGCCTTCGTCCCAAAGGTGAAGAGCAACATTGCCAACGGCTGGCTTTGTCTGGGTCTGCGCCGTCCGGGGCTGAGACATGAAAGGGTTTAGGGGCTAAGGCCTGAAGGGCCCTTAGGGCCTTTAGGAACCATGTGCAGAGGGACTGAAGGGGGGGTGGGGGGGGAGGGGGAGGCGTCTCCGGGTTATAAAGATGAAGATAGGACTCCGAAACACTGAGTCAGAAGCTGGAACAAGAGAGAACCGCCACACTGCTACAGATGGGTAGCTCACTTCCGGACTAGACAGGGCAGCCATTCATTCACCACCCTCATATTTTGGGATGTTCCCCTTATACTAACAGTCCTTAATAGGGATAACCCTTAAGCCTGCATCCTAAACCCTCAACCTAATCCCTGGTAAGGACTGTTAGTAGGGAACATCCCACCTCATGTTCGCACAAGGCTGGGATCCGTGGAGTACGTGCCAAAGTCGCTGGGCTGCGTCGTGGTGCGCGCTTTTACTGCTCATGAGTCCTGGAGATTAGGGTCTAGGGTTTAGGCGTTAGGGTTTAGGGTTTAGGGTTTAGGGTACCAGAGATTTACCCACTCACTCCCCCAGAAGAGAGCCCAGGCATCCTCCCCCAGCTGACAGAACAGGACGCGGAACTTGTTTCAGCTTTGTCTTTGTCAGGGTTTAGGGTTTAGGGTTTAGGGTTTAGGGTTTAGGGTTTGGGGTTTAGGGTTTGGGGTTTGGGGTTTAGGGGTTGGGTAATATTTTACATTTTTAAGGGTACTTAAGCCCAATAAGGAATAGCAATTTACATTTTTAATATTATCCCAACAATGACCTAGTTGTCTTAGGGATTCCTTTGGAACAACTTTATAATGTTTGGGTACGGTAATTCCCAAGACAGCTAAACCTATAGAATTTTGCCAGTGTTCCAAATTCAGTATAGTTGTGTCTCTGTCGAGGTAGATGTGTCGAAATCAGGAGCGGTCAAGCGGGGGGACATCAGGCGGTTGTTAGGACTTGCTTTGTGTTCGAAGGTGACGAACATGGGTAGGGCTGCATGTTAGCTGGTTTCCTGCAGCTTGATCATGAACGCCTTTCTGCAACCCACAATCTCCAGCAGGAATTCAGTCCAGAACCCGGGACTTCAACCATGTTATGAAGATGCCTCTTATCATTCAAGGAATATTCCTTAGTTCTGGGAAAAACGGAATCCTGAGTGCTGGTCTCCTCCCCACAGCTGCGAAGACCAGGACGCTCGCGAAGCAAAGCTTGCCAGAGCCATTTACTTGGCGGGGGCGCCATCCTGAGAGGGCGCAGGTTTAGGGTTTAGGGTTTAGGGTTTAGGGTTTAGGGATTAGGGATTTAGGCTTTGGGGTTTAGGGTTTAGGGTTTAGGGTTTCATTCTTGAGCGCAGCTTTGTTTTCTGCTTGGGGTGGGCCCAAGTTAGACCTTTGTAGCCCTAAGTGCGTTGGTGGAACTCCCTCCATAAGCTGAAAGCCGTCCTTTTGTTTAGGGTTTTGGCGTAGGGTTTGGGGTTGGGGTTTAGGGTTTGAGGTCTAGGGGCTACAGTCTAGGATCTAGGGTCCTAGGGTTTAGGGTTTAGAGTTTAGGGCTTGAAGGGGCTCTTAGGTCCGAAGTGCTTTGATGAAGTACGAAGCGCAGCACAAGAACCTGGGCGAGAGCGAGAGGATGTGTATCCGGAAAGCCTGGCATCTGGCAGTTTCGGTGAAGTTCCTTGGATGTCAGTCGGCAGGGGATCAGGGTTTAGGGGTCCTGGTGGGGACGGGAGCAAGCCTGATGGTGTCTACTATACTTGTAGCTGTTTGGGATACTATAATCCCCTATAGAACTGAAAGTGTACACTTTTTTGGGGGCTTATGAACTCAGCAACTAAGTATAGTAGTTGGAAAGTAGTAGTAGTAGTAGTAGTAGTAGTAGTAGTAGTAGTAGTAGTAGTAGTAGTAGTAGTAGTAGTCGTCTTCGTCGTCGTCGTCATAGCAGTAGGTGGTAGTGGTAGTCGTGGCATCAGCATGCTTACGTTTAATTGCTAGTAATCAGTAGTATATAATACCAATTCCTACGTCTACAATCGGACCACTGACCCTTCTGGGGCCAAGCGCCTACGCAAAGCCCAGGTTTTACGTTTGCGGCGGCCAGGCCCGTGAAGAGTCCCTCCTCGCCCAGCAAGTGGCCCGGATCACTTGTTTGTGTTTGGAAATCCCTTCATCAAAGGGCTCTGACGCTTAGGGATTCTGGCAAGAAGAGCTTATAGTTGAACATACCAGACGCTCCATTCACAAAGGATTCTGAGTCTAGGTTTCTGGCAAAAACGCCCTAGGCAACACATATTAGATGCCTCGCTATATCTTACTACTCTTCGATATCGTCAGTGGTACATGGGCTCACTTGGCATGGCTGTTCTTGGCTTGCTGACATGGCGTCATGTGTGGTGTGTTGTGCAAGGGTCTTTGTGTGGTGTGTTGGCCCTTTTCGCGGACATCGTGATCGGCAGGCGTGCTTGTTTCTGTCACCTTCGCAATTGAACCATGGATGCTTGATTGAGTGTGTGTGTGTGTGTGTATGTCTTGCCATTGGTGTTTGATGGAAAGGCTGGGGGCTGTGATTGCCCGCAATCTGGTGAACCGAGGTGGTTGCTTTGCCATTGAGCAGGATTCAATCGGGCGGAGCTGCATTTTTTGCAGACAGCCCAAGTGGCACAGCGCTGGTGGCTTTGGCTCTGCTGGGACCCAAAAACCCTGTAAACCCTGTGAACCCTAACCGTGTGAGCGCTACCAACCCTACAAACTCCAAAACTCAAGCGATATCTAGGATTGAGGGAAGCTGGCCTTCAGCCTTTCAGTTGCACTGCAGGTTTAGGGCTTGAGCATCGTCCAGCACAGGATCAAATAGGTGCCCCATCTTCCAACAAGAGCCGTATTGTTGGATCGCCCCCAGAATGAGGTATCCCCCACTAATCCCAGGTGTCGATGCGAGAAGATCTTGTGGTGGCACATGTCGACAAGCCCATCAGCAAGACGTACCTGGCGGGCTTCATACTGCAACTCTTCTGCAACGGCTCCCAAAGTCAGCGGGCGTACTTCCAGTTGAGAGTCATAATGTCTCCCAAGCCCGAAGCCCGAAGCCCTGAACCCTGAATCCTACAAGCCCTACGCCCTTAAACCCTAATCCCTAAACCCTAAACCCTTTACCCTAAACCCTAAACCTGTGGCGATGTGTCCCCCCTTGCATGAGTTCCTGCCAAAGGTCGGAGGGCCGCCGGCAACTTGCCATTGCCCTCAGCGCGCCACCGAAGACGTACACCGCCGACGTCCTGCAAAAGCTCCTTCGTCTTATGATCTGAATGTTCCTACATATAACTCATAATTCCATTTAGATGATAAGGCCATTGGTATAATAACCTGTGATCTAAATGTACCTACTTAAAAAATTGCATTTAGATGATAAGGCCATGAATGTCATAATCTTAGTCTTTCTTAGTAGGCAGGTGGGGATTAGGTGTAGGGTCAGGGTTTAGGGTTTGGAGTGGAGGGTTGAGGGTTTAGGGTGTCGGGAACTCGCCTGCGAGCCCCGATTCCAAGAGTGACTAGGCAGCTCACAACCCCTCCATGCCCCTCTAAGTTTTTTGAAAGGGTACCTACTTCCCGAATCCCTAAACCCTAAAGCCTAAACCCTAAACCCTAAACCCTAAACCTACTAAGAACTAGTAAGGCACCCAGCCGAATTCTCCGAGCTCCTCTTCGTGGAGTTGCCCCACGTATGCGATGCCCACCCCGTGCCAGAAGCACAGCTGGCGGCCCTGCAAAAGGAGGCCAATCTCCGAAGTCGCAGCGGTTTCGGGCTTAGGGCTTAGGGTTTGGGGTTTAGGGTTTGCGGTTTAGGGTTGCAGGCTTTTTACAAGCAGGGTGTATAGGGCTTGGGTTAGGGGCTTAGAGTTTATAAGGCCTTCGGGTGCACGATTTTCATGGTGCAGGGTCTTCTCCTTCTCCTTGAGGGGCAAAGGGGTCTTGCAGCAAGATGGAGTTTGTCAGAGAGAACATCGTTCGCCATGCCGGCACCGTACCTACCCTAAACCCTAGACCCTGAACCCTAAACCCTAAACCCTACGACACGATGTCTTGGATGCCTAGACATGCTGATGTCGCTCTCCTGAATGTTGCAGGCAGCCAAGAGCCTGGCGCAACTGGTCCAGTCTTGTGTAGAGGTTTAGGGTTTTGGGTTTAGGATTTAGGGTTTGGGGTTTAGGGTTTAGGGTTTAGGGTACGTGTTCAGGTCAAACAAGATTCGGGGCAGTGGGGCGGTAGCATTGCTTTTTCTTTTCATCCGAGCGCTTGTCTTTTCGAATCAACCCAGGAACATTGCGTGGGACGTGTGGTCATTCCAGAAAGGCCCGCGGCTGGCGAGAGATGCCATCCAGGTGGTGGAGGACTGCGGTTGGGGGCTTCAGGGGCAGGGGGCAAACCCTAAGCCCTATAAAGGCCACAACCCTGAGTCCAACATGCACGACCTTGGCTTTTCTCTTGTCAAGACGTGACGACGACGTAGCCGAATGGTCATGCTGTGAAGCATGATCACTACCGTTCTGCTTGAGCTTGTTGGTAGTTAGTGGAGTCTGTTGGGCGGTACCGAAGCAGACTTGTCCATTTTTCTCTGACCCGGAAATGCTGCGAGTCCTGAGCAGAGGAGTCTTGCAGAAGGGTGGGCGAAAAATGCAGATTGTCGCGAACCGAGCAACGGACGTGGAGTTTGCAGACTGCGTTGGATGTCGATCCGGAAGAGGCTTGGCGGCGCCTGCTGGCAGGAGAAGACTTGTTTCAGAATGGGCAAGACGAGGAGGACGAGGAGCCATCTGAATGGATGAATGCAGCCTTCTCGGTTTTCTGACCCTGATTTGTTCACGTTAGTCCACTCTCAACTCCTTGAACACCTGTCGCCTGAAGCCTCAAAGCCTGTAGCCGCTGTAGCCTTGAATTCTTGAAGCCAGAGTGCCCGACTCCTAGTGAGTTGAGAATATCAGCAAGCTTCACATTACAGGGCTTTACTACCATGCCGGGGTTGGAGATAGATATCCCACCTATATCCCAGCCTGGCTTGTTCTTTCTAAGCCCTATAAAAAATCAAACCCCCCAAGCCCCAAACCCAAAAAATCCGGGCAACTCTTGGCCAGGAGGAGGGTCCGAGCACTGCAATGCCCGCGAGGGGGACAGATTTTGCCGGAGCGGAGGGCACTACCCCAGCTGCTGGGTGCCATTTTTGGGGGTTTCCGAAAATAGGGGGTACCCATTTTTGGGGCTCCCTTTATAAGGGGAATCTATTCTGTTTGGGGTATACAAGGGGTACCCCAATTTTGGGAAATGCCCGTGTGTCAGGCCACGTTAGTACCTTTAGGTTCCCGAAGGGTTCGCCACTGGTAGGCTCAGGGTCTGATCGGAGGCCACTGTTTCCATACAAAACACCACATTGCGTGCGCCGTGAGGCAATTCCACAGGGTTCAGCGAGGGATGCTTTTAGGCACAACAACCGTCCCGTAACAGCCAATAGCCGAACAGGCAAAATGGATGTAGTGTGGATTCCTTAACACCCAGAATGAGCACCTGCACGCCCCTAAGCATCGTCAGCCTCATGTCCGGAAACCAGAAGGTGATGTTCGCAAAGTCCGCATGGCGGCGGAATGATACACCCTTCCCTGCCTCAACACACGTGTGTGACATCTTCAGAACCCAAGCTCTTGGACGCTTTGATGGTAACGCAGTGCGTCAGTTTAGATGGCAACTACACGCTCCAAACCTGATCCCCAAACGTCAAGCTCCGCACCCCCCTAACCCCTAAACCTTAATACCCAAGCGCCAAACCCTAAACCCCAACCCTAAAACCCTAAACCCTCAAACCCTAACCCTAAACCCCAAACCCTAACCCCCCCCCCCCCC